TTGAGCCACTATCTCTGCTTAGCAGCAGCTATTCGCCATAGGTTCCATTTAACTTTGCGGATACCCGGAGCTCGCTCCGTTCTTACCATGTTCATCTCTTTGATTGTTTGCGTCACAGCTCAGCTGTTTGTTGACCTATTCTGTGCCACCGTAGGATCCGCTAGTAGCTGAAGCCTTATTTCCAACTCTATTGCTGGCCATTCATCTCTCCTAGCGCGCCGTTATCCGTCGTCTGTCTTACTCGCGTTTACTTGTCTTGTGGTCAAAAGTCTTAATGAAATGGTTGAATCAGCCACTGATACCTCCATTCCTTTAGCCACTATCTCTGCTCTGCGGCAGCTGTTCGCTGTATGCTCTATTCAACTTTGGGAATACTCCTTAGCTCGCTAGGCGTCAGTCCTTCTGTAGATTGTTTATTCTCCTGGTATAGTTTTTTCACAGCTCAGCTGGTTTGCTGTCCGATCCTTTGACACGGTTGTTATTCATTGGCACCTCGAATGATTAACCCAACAGGCACCCTTGGCCACTGATACCCGGTCCAGTATCGATATCTTCTAATCGTCTTAACTTCAACACTTAGTCTTCCTTTGATATCCATTTAATCTTAGCCAGCTTCTAATATGCTCAGCTTCCTATATTCATATACCTATGTACATTGTAGTTATGGTGTCTTAGGTAATCCTTCACCCGTGAGCATATATAAATACGGCCACATCGTCACTGTCCTTGGGTTTCCGATAACAACCAATCGTGACTACACACCCACTTTCTAGTCTCAGGTAGAGTTCGAATATTGTCAGCTTACACCTCATGAATATCTTACCGGAATCCTGCTCTTCATCCCTATGCACATGAAAGTATTCTACCCATCAGGCCATGCCTTCCGCATAAGTAAACACATCTTTAGCGTAATATCTGTTACACCTTGTACACTAGTTGTCTCAAATAAATGTCTTAATGTAGGATTTTGATCAAACGCTAGGTACATCGACTGTTCCTTTTCGGCCTTCTCTCGGCTTGTTCCTCTCTCCCTTTTCTCTGAGGTCGCGAACATCGGAGAGCTTCGGGATTGAACTGAGGAACTGCCTCCGTCTGGGATGGGACGAAATAACCAACAAGTACTTACCTGGACCATGGCCTCACTTCCACTCTAACTGTTTGCACCCAACCACCGATGTCCAGTGAGGGTAGCTGGACACGAATTCTTCGCTCCCCGGCAAACATACATAATCAGAGATGACTTCATGTGGTTCTGCGAAGGATCAACACATCATATTCAATAAGAATGTTTAGTACCCGACCTACCAATGGACAGGACCCAGGAGCGCAATAGGCAACCAGTTATTGCATCAACCAGCGGAAAAAATGGGACGCAACCTGACTGCGAATAACCGAGCAAACAGACTTTTAACAAGAAACATAGCCAGTTACAATTTGCCATTCAATGGATTGGTGGCAGTGTTCCAGGATGTGGTGGGTTTTCGCCTGGCAAGCGTTCTCCCTACAAAAAGCCACAAATGTCCGTTTAACAACACTGCAACGTGGCGTATGTGACTCGCCACCGAATAAAGTCACAGCCCATAACTTTACACTGGCAGATCAACTAGCGTCACAATTCTACATAGGATCGTTACACTGGGACTTCTACATCTGTATATACTGTTGTCGTTTTACATCCTACGATACGTTGCCCTTTTTCTTCCTTGTGTGCGGGCTCTTCCATTACCTTTCAGTGGATCATTCAGGTTTCTCAATCTCTTATTAGCTGAGGTCCCGTATCTCATGACAGCCAACTTATTGTTTCGCATTTTCAACATTGTACAGTTCCAATCATGGATATATGAACAATTTTCTGCGTTACTGTTACAATTGCATTATAATGTTTGTACGGTTGTACATATCTGATCATGCCTCCATGAGCGTGCCTCGCATAGTCGAGATTAAAATATTTATTTATTTATTTATAATTTTACACCAACCATCCTGTGGGACTTGGCAAGCAACTGCTTTTTTAGCCTACATAAAGCATTTTTCACTCTTCCCACTCTATTTAGTTTGTATGGGTGACTAATAGCGGCATGAGGATATTTTACTATTATTCAGCAGTTTAGCTTTTGCTCGGCGAATTCGGCGATATCGCAGGAACAAAGGTAAAGTTCGAAGTGACTAACATCCTTGAGCGGGATAATTTCCTTCTGAAAGCCAAGGAGCAGTGACTTTATTCAGTGACGAACCATATCCGACACGCCACAGCGTTGGTAAACAGACGGTTGTGGCTATTTATAGTGCAAACGCATGCCAAGCGGGAACACACCACGGCTTGGAAGATTGCGGCCGAAACATTTGCTGGAACAGGAGTAACCCGGTTCACCCCACTGGATACCCATGGAGTGGCTCGGCTAGCAAGCTTTCACGTTGCCACTCGGCTGAACCCTGAACTAAACCACTGGTCTGCCGAGCATGCCCTGTCCTCAGCTGTAAGTTGAGAATAATTCAGGGGTCTGCACTCGCGCGTCATACGCTGTGCCTCATGTTGCGCACTTCCTCTCAAACTTGGATGATTTTTGGATGACCGCGGCAACTATCGTAAATGACCAAATTTCTCCCCAAGCGCGCCACAATGAGCCCATGAACCTCACTACTATTATGGAAGTGCGCTCGTTGTCTCTAACCCGTCTTATTCGCTACGTATATATATGGTTAGCGGCATCCGGTTTCGGATTTGCTTGTTAATGTGGCAAGCCACAGGACGCCTGCGCATACGGAGGGCCCGTGGGTGGCTTGCGCTGCACCACCCACAGCTCCATACACACATCTCATATCCAGTGTAAACACGAGGGAATAAGACCGGGAGGCATGTGGATGGGAACCACGTTTCATCAACGGAGCGGGCCCACACTCCTTCACAACAAACACAAGCACACTGTAGTTGGGGAATCAACCGCAAACAAGGCGGTGGCTGAACCGTAGTCCGCTCCACACTGATTGCATGGAACCGCTCTTCGGGCCTAGCACGGCCACAAGGACCGTGCACCCCGTCCCCTCCAACAATTGTCATGTTCCCCTGGAGCCAGTATGGACGAGGTAGCAAGTAAAACACAAGTAGGCACCTTGTCAAAACGCACACCAAGCGCAGCCACACCGGTGATATCAAGCACCAGCCAAGCACCTAAAAAGACAAGACGAAATAAAACAAATACAATAATGCATACAGCTACGGTGGCATAACTCTTCGCTACGTTATCATACGAAGTAACTTGGTTAGCTACGGATCCGCGATAAGGGATAATGTCCACAAGTTACGTAAAATGCTACAAACGCAACAAAGTTACCAATGATAAGCGCAATTAGCTTACGCAGCGTGGCTAGTTAATAGATTATACAGGTAGGCAGAACAAACCAAAGAAAGTGAAATAAAATTTTGTCAGCTTAGAAAGCCCTAATTTAAGTGCAAGTTGGTTTAGCCCCACTGCGGTGTAGAAGCATCAAGAATGGAACACCAACCTCTGCATGGGGCACGTGAGGCATATATATATATATATATATATATATATATATATTGCAAACTTCGTTGTTTTGCATACATCATGCTGCTTCTCCAGGATGCAGATAGCTTAGGGCTTTTTAATCTAACTAAAGAAATAAATATTTATTCTGGACTAACTGAGGCACAGCTTTGGGCCTGATCAGCATAGTGCAATGTTGTAAATGAACAGGTGCAAGAACAAGTGTAATACGGAGGTATGAAATATTTTTCTCATTATTTGGTTCCCTCAGTTCTGTTACCCTTCTGCCTACACCGGTTACCGTTTGCGTGTTTGTTTTCCATCAAGTTCCCCGGTAGAGTGATGTAAATGCTGATGTGTTGGTTATCTGTGCAACACCCTCCACCTCGATTACCTTCTCTAGGTGGTTGGGGCGGACGAGTGCGCGACTCTGGTGGCCGTGGTTGGCTCCAAGACCCGTTCAGTCCCGTGTGGAGCGGACTAGCTACCAGGTACCACCTTGTGCAAGTCTGGTACGTATGATTCCCCAAGTAGATAAACAGGAATGTTGCTGTTGTACATGTTGAAGCAGTATGAGCCTGCTGCCACCCACATACCTCCTGGGTTCATTCCTGATGGCTCAACTGGACATGGGGTGCATGGATGTATCACTTGTTGGTGTATGGCAACTCACTAATGATCCCTCTGTACACGTGGGCGTCCTGTGCCTTTCATACGGAGACCACAGCGATAGGCAGTTCCGAAACCGGATGCCGCCAACTATAAATATGCGTACATTTTTACGAATGCATATATATATATATATGTATACTGCATTGAAGCTGTAAGCAGGTATTCATAGAAGTTTAACATACACTTTTAGATTTCATCTCAACCAGTAATAAGTGCAATATAAAAATTTAGCGAAATATATCAAATACGCCGTCTAATTTGTTAACGCAGCACATAAGCTTGTTAAATCCAATGCTTGCATTATTCAGGTAACCAAGTCACTTTATAGATAATAACTTCCTTAGACTAATACTAATGATGTGAGTATGTGCAAATACGAATATGGTTATCTATTCATGCCACGAGGACTGAAGCTTAGTCAGCCCAGTATATTTCCCATAGCAATTTCGTCATTATCACCAATATACAAGCCTCCTTCACTACTCCACTGCCCATGTTAGATAAAGTTTCGGATTCCCTTCCTTAACGCAACGGGCGCAATCAGTTTGGAAGGTGTATCGTTCCTTGAATATTCTGGTAGTCGCTCGATGGCTGGTCCACAGTTCTGGGACCGAAAGCTTATTATCCGTTTGTTGTGAAGATAAGGCTGACAGGCAAAATCGGCCTCTGGACTCATACCAAGTGAAGCAGGTTATTTTCTAACGACTGGAACGTCCGTGAAGGTAGGTGGCTGCCCGGCTAGGTAAAACAGGCGTGATTGTCGAGTACCAGCGTTTATTCTGCTTACGGACCATACTCCTGGCTGCAAGATATCGCGGCTGGTACAAGTGACATGCGGGTCAGACGAGCTGCATTTTCGATATCACTGCATGCACTGGCATGCAATGGCCTGGACTACATTTCAGTGCATTTCTAACGAAAAATAGCAACAAACGCGATGCAGACGTTCGTACCGATCCTAACTTTTATCATCATCCGGTGGATCTTGCTAAGGCCCCTTGACCCACAAAGCGCAAGCTTTGAGGAACGGCTTTGGCTATGTAGCTCAGTGACGTATGTGAACCCAGATGCATAGATTTAATCCATGGCTGACTTGTGGATACCCGGCGGTAGGATGTTGTGTATATCCCGACGGTCGGATTAAGCTTTCAACAAATAAAATTCCAAAAATGCCTCTCTGGTAATATAAAGCCGGTTGTTTGGTGCAGAGCACAGAATCACCTCATAGCCGCGTCACCTTACAACTTGTGAAAAGGGTGCGTACGAACCTTATAAACTTTATGAGATCAGACGAACGCACATATCTGAGCATAAAAATTTGGCTGCCACACCGGATATCTGATATCCATGCTGTCTTGGGGACCGGTTTCAGAGCTAAGATTTATGGAACCAAGCGCACTTGATTCACATAATGTGTCGCGGTCCCACCTACTGGACGTTCTGTAGTATTCAGAGGAGGTACGCAGGCTGGTTTATTGGCGACATTGAAACAACTGAAGTGGGACTTAAATAAGCTTAGTAAGCGCGGTCGTGAACGTTGTGAAACCAAGAATGGAGGCTCGGTCAGTAGCGATAAGTATGCCACCAGCCTAGGAGCTTCACGGGCTCACCAACGCTGGTCGTGGGTTCAGTACACAACCCGTAGCACCACGATAAGTTAAGGGTATAACGAAGGTAAATAGGCTTTTGCTAATGGTTCTACAAAGCGCCGTCGAATTATTCAGCAGTTATTTCCTTAAATAAGTTGATTACTCAATACAACTACATTGAAGGCACGTTCCGTTATCTGATCCAGCGAAGTTTCCTGCATACACTTAATGGAATCGCATGCGGCACCACTTGTATTGCACCATGTGGAAATCTAAGTTCAAGGAAACAGCGTTTGTCCGTTGACAGATGCAGTAAACATCCGGCGCTTTGAGAGGCCGTCTGATTTCAAGGCTTCTCCGCCAGCCAACTTTCGGTACCGCTGGTGCTATGTTGGCCTGTGTCCGAAATCGCAACCTTGTTATTGAGTCCCCTATCGCGGTGTTATCTTCCGTCAAAGTGAAGCTGTGTAGAAAGTTGCACTTGCGGCTACTTGTATCGAAACCATAGTTCTGGGTTCTGTGAGTTGGGTCGGATGTGGTGCTGATGCCAGTGGGTTGTGGCAGCGTTGCTTGGACGAAGGAAAGTGCACATGGCGATCTACAGGCAATTTGCTCGTCAGTAGACAGGCGTCTAACGTCACGCGTTCGCTTATCCTGACCCAAGACTACGAAACATGGTCGTTTGCTTAACTCATCTGTTAGCCTCCGTAAGATTAAACTTTTATTCTCGGCTAATGGAGCCACGATTGCACAAGCGTGATCCTGGTAAGGGAGCGAAAGGTGCACAGGGAAGGTACGACAGGATGGTCATAGCAGTGTCATACATGTTGATACTTGAATGGTTTTATGTGCGCTTGTAGGCGTGTGTAGCTGTGTTGCTTGGTCTTGTAAAGGTTTTGCTGCTTTGACTTGGGGCGGAACCGGTCGCTATTGCTAAAGGGCTGGTTGACGACTGCGGAGTTGCTATGGTTGTAAAAGGCGCAATACTTTGCCGGGATACAATGCTGCGTCATTATGAAGCAAGGGGCAATGCCTTTATTTAGTGGCGTATCACAGCCGCTACGTCACAAAGTTTTTAAACGGAGACTTAGCACCTTTTATAGAAAGAACACTTGCCAAGCAGAAGCCCATTAGGTCCAGGAACACTGCAGCCGAACTATTTGCTGGAACGGGGTAAACCCGAACTACCAGCTGAAACCACTTGGAGATTGTTCGACTAACCAGCCAATGTATTGTGAAGTTTGGGCCGCTTAGGTTGGCCAGCCCTAGCTTTTGATGTAAAGCCCTTTATAGGACTGCGTTCAACGGACGGGTGCGTCAGACTGCTAGAGCAAACTATGTTCCGCCTACCTGCAAAGCCCCTCGGTTGTTGTTAATCGCAGTTTCTAGCGGAAAACGAGTTAACAGGCAAACATGTATCACTTGAGGGCGTGACAGAGCCGCTTGCTTAGAAAAGGTACGTTTGCAAGTAGCGCGTCTAAGCTTAAGCTGACAAGCTTCTCAAATTCACAGTCGTCAAACGTATCTCTAGACAACGGCTACGAGGTCAAAATCATTCAAAAGAACGGCAACACCTTTACAAGCACAGGCAATACACCTACCTTTCTAGTAACATTTGTGGATCCACATTTACAAAAATTCGATTACACTATTGCACAGTGCTTGCTTAATTCTTGTGTTATTTTCTATGATCATACCTTTAAAGGCTTGTCTCGCGTAGCCGAGAATCTAAATTTATTTACTTATTTATTTACTAATGAATGTAACGTCTTCCCTCGTCGGGAAATCACAGACCAAAGCTCTAACCTATACCTGACCAGTGCAACAGCCTGGGTATTAAAGAGCAATTGAATAAGGCCGCGAGGGAACGATAAAATGCATCAAAACATCGCTGCAGCCAAGGCCAACATATCCGGAAGCTAAGGCGTGCAAGTGTAGGATCTAGCTAAGCGGTTCTACCCAGTGCCGTCCGCGGCTCAAATCCTTTGCAAGGCAGCTATAGGCATCTGCAGCACACAGGGCCTCTAGGGCACACCCATCTTCCTACAACCTTTACTATTTCTACTCCATGGGTAATGGTTTTACGTAACCAACGAACACCTGTCAGTAAACCACGGTCCCAATAATCCTTGAACCGAGGCCACGTGGGGTTCATATAGGAAAGAGCTTCAGGGCGTGCGGCAACGGTAACTGTGAAATGGGTGTCAAACTGGCTCACCCGGGTAATGTAAGCCAGTTTTCCTATCCACTACAGCAAGCCTCTCATCACACAGACTGGGACATCACGCAACTAACCGCACAGCTTAGAAAATTTACGCAATATATAGAACCGACAACCAGACACTAGCCCCGTATACGTTGCTTTAAAGGCAGTTGAATGAGGTAGACTAAGATCCGTTATGAACTTCTTACATTTCTTGGTACTCGGTAGTGCTGTTGACAAGCGGCCTTAAGGTAGCTACTGGTGCACACTGGGATATAATGCTTACAACATAGTAAATAAATCCCGTCCTGTCTACGAGCACGGCTTGCCGCAAGGTATAAGCTGTTGCGCTGCCTCTGTATGAAGGATATCGACATGGTTGCCGCATAGGGAACCAGAAGTTAAGAGGTTAAAATACACGAAGCGAACTACGCCATCAAGCTCGCCTAGTTACATGTCTCTTTCGGTCCGAAACAATTCGCGAAGTAATATGGCTGCTTCTAGCCGAAGGAATTTGTTATGAAGTTCTTGCGAGGAGTACATGTCAGGCCGCTTAAACCTAGAATGAAACCAGCTATGCACAAAAGCTAGGAATTCGTGGAGGCGTTTAATACACCGCATTAGACCGTACAAGCAATTCTCATTAACTAGAGCTACCCGAGGCTTGAGAACATGAGGCTAAAGCATACCAACCTGAAAAGCGTTGGTGGCGACCATACGGCTACGAACAATTTCAAAGGATCACTGAAGACAAAAAGCAACGCGTATGCTTAGTACCCATAGCTGCGGTATTTGGAAATGCTATGCAGGGCAACGGAGCCATTTTGCTTTCACAGTGAAGAGCTGTGGATTTCACGCCGTTGTAAGAGCACCCGTACTCCGAACGCTCTCCGGTGTGGCGGTCGGAATACACTTATGCAGTCAATTTGTAGATGCAGTAGGAACAGGAGTAACCTGTTAAGTAGCACCAAATACATTTCTAAATTCTTCAAACTACGCATATCACAACTTAACACATTCGCAACGTAGGCGGGGTCCATCCATTCAGGAGCAGGAAACGCGCGCCACAGCCATGCTCAAAATGCGATATGGCCGAATGTTCGACACGGACTCTTACCTACCAGCGCAACGACCGTAAATAAAACGTACGTTTAAAAGCTATTTGTTGCATTTGCTCAATACACAGTTTATAACAAACATGTGCATATTGAATGCCAATTGCTGTCACGAAAACAAGACTCCCAAAAATGTTAGGAAGGGCACACAGTTTTGGTTAACTCAGTACATGTTGGTGGACCTCTAACATGGCGCAGTTGGTGCAAGTCGCTGGTGGTCATCTGTTGGATTCGCGATGGATCCCTTCGATGCGCACTACTGAGGATGTTCAACAGACTGAAACCACAGTCTAAGACTTTTCCGGGCATGTAGAGAACTCTTTGATGTGGAAGCTGTTGCAACGGACACACAATTCAGTAAGTATCATCGCATGTCCCCTGGCATTTTACCCTCATGGAATAAAGGGAAAGCGCTTTATCTCAAGCCTTGTGGGGACTTTGCAAATCAGGTCAGGTTAACGTATGATGTAGATAGGACCGGTAATCGTTAAGAGCATAAATAATGATAATGATGATATTGGTAAACGTGGTACGTAAAATGTTTCGCTGTGGTTTTTAATCTAAACAAACTAGGTTGCTGTCCTTAGATAGCAAGGGCGCAAAATCAAATGCAGCCTTGGATCAAAAGGAGGAACAGCATATTCTTAGAGAGACACCTACAGCACATTGATCAATTGTCTAACAAATTATTACCTTTTTAGTTCATTTCCATTTAAGGATGTTCCACTGCCTTTCAGCCAGCAAATCCGTTCCAGCTGACATGTGAAGCCAGTTTTCTCCCCGTAAAAGTATATATTTATAGTACACGGTTCTAATCTATGCTTTTGGATCGAGACGCCCGTTCCCATCATTTATGTAACCATCATACATGCGCACTAGATGAACTACGCAACGGCCACCGGAGCTTAGTTCCGTGGTTACTATCTATTCATCTTCTCTGTTGCTCCGAGCGCGTCGGATTAGTAGGAAACAGCTGCTTTCTAATCAGTCAGCTGTTTCCTAAAAATCCGACGCGCCCGGATCAACAGGGAAGATGAATAGATAGGAACTGCGGAATTAAACTTTTGTGGCCATTGCGTAGTTCATCTAGCGCGCAAAATAATGGTGAACAGCCGTTTCGCTATAAAAGCCTAGATTAAACCTCCTAGTATAAGTATCTTGTTATGGGGGAAAACCGCTTCACATTTTAGCTGGAACGGATTTGCTGGCTGAAAAGCAATAGAACATCTGTAACTGGAAATAGAATAAAAATGTAATAATTTTTTAGGTAATCGGTCAATAGTCAACTAATTGTGCAGTTCTTCCAAAAAACCGCATGTTAGATGACCATTGGTGGTTTGGAATATGCGTTGCCCAACTCCAGCCGCCCGGTCTCCCCGGCGTGGTGGTGCGAATACTAACCAGA